TCTGCAGACAGATTGGGACCATAGTGTGCCAGCCTGATTCTAACCACCCGGTCAAAGCTTGCCTCCTCGGGGGTTCTGTCAGCTGTGCTGGGTCCATTGGTTCCCTCTGCTGCTGGTACTCCATCCATTTCCAGCAATAACGCAATAATGTCCCTCTTCCTGAGGTTACTGGCTTGTCCACCTCTTTGCTCTAATAAATCTTTCAGGGTAGCTCTTCTCAGGTTTTTATATTGTAATTCCATTTAATCCTGGTTGTAGTGGTCTCTTTAGGCACTGAGGATCATCCCACCGCTGCCACCAGTTGTTAAGATACCTCCAGTAATAAATGTACAAGCCGCCGTTTAGTGAATGCTCCCCATTTGCAATAATGTGGTCTGGTAGCGTATGCAATATAACCATGCGAACCGCAAGCTAGGGTACACTCCAAACTCCCGAACGGTACCTGTACGGCTCCTTCCCTTCATGAGCTCCAAATGCACGAATCGCCAATAGCAGCCGAACGGCAATAGTTTCCAAGCGGCAAATAATCCCAATAAGCAGTCTCTAGTCGCTGGTAATAAAATCCCCCCAATAACGAGACCAAGCTCCGCTTTGAGGGTAAAACACGAACTGAGTTTACTGTGGGCTACCTGCCCGTATTTATGCAGGTCTCCCACTTGGTGGACACTCCCCTAGGGGACAAAATGGGAGACTGGAATAACAGAAGGACATGGGGACATTTTAGACATACATCCCCACAATATTCCCAGCATGCATCACAGTTTCCTCCCCTCTGCTCGGGAGATAATTGGGAAGTAATTCAATTATCTCCCAGAGCAGAGGCAAATCGCCATTTTAACTCAAAGTTACAAAACACATTAAAATACAGAACTTTATAACTGCCGAACGTATTGCATTCGTATAACACATCCCCAGATAGCCTGGATCTGAGTGCATATTATTGGCGAATAGCGCTCAGATCCAATACGCACAGTTCAATCGCCATGGAGTCAAAGTCTATTACAGTTCTTCGGTATGCGATTGACTCCATGGGAAGGCTATCTGGGTTAAGTCCATTCCTGTTGTTAAATCTCCCGAACGGCCAGTATTCGTATGCTTTTGTCGATTGAGAAGGGGAGGTTGACGGCTTCAGCGGTGTTCGGTTGAAAAAGTGTCCGTTTTGAGTTCCATGAAATAATCGTCGAACACCGCTGGGCTTTCGCATAGTTAAAATGGTCGCCGCCTCGTGGTCGACATACGAACGACGACCACCCTGTATTCGGTTTTAATTGAGAAGTGTCTGTGGTTAACCGCAACGTTCTAATTGGGATCAATAGGTTAACCAGCAGCAC